GGGGAATTAAATAAGAAGAGCAGATCGATTTAGGCAAACCAAGCCTACTTTTTATTTATTTCTGGCAATGCAAGCAGTCTCGGATTAGTTTTCCACGCACAACACGGCGTGCCATGTTGTCTGGCCGTATCTCACACGGCGCCTTTGGCAACAAGCGCCGGCAGGGATGGTTAGGGGGTGCGTGCGCCGCACGGCTGGTTCTGTGGTTTGGGGGAGAGAGGGCTGTGGACAGGAGAAGGGGGGGATGCGCGTGCCTCAGGGCGTGAGCTTCTCCCTCTGCAAACACCGTAACCGATTTACACCCCCTCCTCTCTCTCTCTCTCTCTCTCTCTCTCTCTCTCTCTCTCTCTCTCATATCCTTTTCTCCTTGCATCAGCGTTGATCGCTCTCGGCCATAACCGCGATGGTACTCCGCCCCAACCGCCCAAAACTTTCTCTCTGTGAGGGCACCCCTCTCCGAGAGCAACGGCACGAGCGGGGAGGGCCAAGCGATCGCTTAGCCGTAGCAGTTATTGACATCATCAAAACCTCACTCATTTTCGCCGCGCCAATCAACGCCACCCCTGTCGGCCGCCCCCGCTGCAGCAGTGCACTTGCCGTCCCTGCTACTGTATCGGGTTGCGCAGACACGCTAGACGGCAGCCACCGCCCCTCTGCTTGCTCTGACGCGGGGGTCCGCATAAGGGTAAAAATCGTGTAAATATAAATATTATTTTTAAAAAGCATTTTAGGAATTGCCATACACTGACGCACTCGTGTCCACGAGGAAACCCGTCTGGGTTGTTGGCTGAGCGTTAGCGCCGTTAGCGCAGCCCATACTCAGTGTTGTGCAAGATACTCCCTAAATGTATCTAGATAAAGATACTAGATACTGGTCGAATTTGTATCTTCAGATAAGATAAAGATACTGCATCGTAAAAGTATCTAGATAAAGATAAAGATACTGCACAAAGTATCTCAGATACTTTATTAGATACTCGTCCAAAAATGTCAGGAAAACAATAAAAAAACAGGAGTGAAAATTTAATTAAAAATAGAATACTCATATTGTGTTTAGTTGGCAAGTGCACAATGTCAGGGTTTTAGTGCTGTATTATTTTAACTGGCTACATTACCTCCGAAACAAGGCAGTAGCAGTATAATATTTGAAGGCTTTCAAATTAAGTTGACGTTTAAAATTGTAACGAGAAAAATGTAACGGACGTAACAACGTTACAGACGTCGGTAACGGTATCGCGTTACGTTACTGCTCGCGTCGCGAGGAATGTAACGCGTTACCGGTACGTAACGATTAACGCGTTACAGTAACGCCGTTACATCGTCACACAACGTTAACCCCTGACTGGTTGTCCCACCACCGCGCGGCTGATTCAAATAGTGCAAGTGCCTCGCGTCTGCCTGTAGGACAGTCGCGCATTTCAGGCGTTTTATTTCGACGTTTTCGAACTTCGAGGGGGACAAATAGTATCTGACAACTCAAAGTATCTAAGATACTGTAGATACAGCAAAAAATTATCTAAGATAAAGAAAAGATACAGGTCACAAAATTTATCTAGATACCAGTAAAAGATACTAAAAAAGTATCTAGATACAGTATCTAGATACTTTTATCTAGATACTGC